GGTGGGGCGGGGCCCCGGTGCACTGCCCCGGCCCGAGGTGCGGGCAGGCGGCCCCGCGTCCAGCCCCGCTGCCCACCGCTTTGTTCCGCACCGCGGTGCAGGAGGGGGCGATTCCCGCCACCGGGGGGAGGGGCTGCTCTCATTGATTCATCCCACCCGGCACACACCCAGTGTGGGACACACTCCGGGACGTGGTCACACACCGCGATCATGCCTGGAAACCTCATTTTTGGACGAGGCCACAGGTACACACACACACACACACACACACACACACACACACACAACCGTGACCCTTGGTCATTCCATCAGACTCACACATCCGGCCACCTGTACACCCACCCAATGCACCCAGTGGGGGCTGCGCACTCACAGCACCCATCCTGAATCAAGTCAGCAATACTCTAATCGACACCCAGCCACCCTGCTCCGGCCACCTTGTGCTTCTGCCCCTTCTGTACCCTACACCCTGGAGTAGGCTGTGACCCTTTTGCACACACTTGCTTTGTCTGTTAGCTTGCCGCTCTTCTTCAACCCACACTAGCACAAGTCTGCACACCCTTGAACGTCCATTCTTGCCCTTCTATGGATTAGCAGGTGGACAAATGGACAAATGGTCTGGGAAATGTTTCTCAAAGAAGGTCTTTTGTTATAGACTCCTTCGCCTGTGGTAGCAGGCAGGAGGCTTGTTGCTGTGAGGGCTCTAGATGAGGGGACAAGTGGCAGAGGACTGGGGTTTTCAGTCACACTCACAGGCATACACCAGCCTTTGTCAGTCTTGTTACCATAGCAGGAGATGTTTGCAGGTGCCTGGCAGCTCTGGCCCTGACTGGGGGTGTAGAAAAGACTCCAGACTGGGAAGAAATCCTAGAGGGAAAGAAAAAGCCAGGCTAGCCGTGTATCTCTGAATTCACAGGATTGCCCTGCCTGTGAGCCAAACACAAGGACCTATGCACACACTTAGGCTAGCTCTCCCAAGGTGAAACTGTAAGGCCATGTGATGTCAGATGCACACGCCCACAGGGTCCCAATGGCACCCACAAGGCATAAATGCACAGGCCATTCTATGAACACAGGGTATACAAATGCACACCAGGCTTTTCTTGACTAGGACACAGGAGCCAGGTCCTGGGCCCAGACTGGCCTGAGCTGGTACAGTCCTCCACAAACAGTGCACTTACTCATTTGCATACCAGATGAGTTGACCCATTCGCTTACATGGTCATTTCTGCCTACTGCCTATACTGGATCACACACACCTCCCTTACATCCCAGTATGCATCCATGTGTCCATAGGGTGTGCACGTCACCGAAGGTATGTGTGTGGATGCAGGGACACTGGCTTCCTCTACGCATACTTTCTGGTACTATTACCTGCGAAGCCCACAGGATTTGAAGAATCTTTGGTCTAGGCCAAAAAGAAAGGCGCTTTACGAGCCAGTGTTTGGACTGAGTTCAGATCTCCAGAACCCATTTAAAGCCAAATACAGTAGCGTGTGCACCTGTAATCCCAGCGTCCAACTGTGAGAGGGGAGAGAGGGGAACCCTAGAAGCCGAAGGGCCTGTTAGCCCGGTGTACAGCAAGAAGACCTTGGAAGTCAAAGACTGATACCTGAGGTTGTCCTCTGACTTCCACATGTGCAGGAGAATGCCCACATTCCCACATACACACAAAGATAAAGAAAAGAGCCTAGCACTAGTGTGTAGATGTTGATTGACAGACTGGGAAGAATCCAGGCTTTGAGCTCAGACACAACTAATTTTGAACCCCGGCCTTGCTCCCTCCAGGCTTTCCTCCTGACTTCAGTGTCTTCATCTATGGCACGAAATGATAAGGGTCCCCATTGTGAAATTGTTGTAAAGTCTACGCGATAAAATGAGCCTGAGGGTGCTGAGTCCAGGGCTGAGCATGCAGTGGGGTGGTAATGGAGGTGTTCTCTAGTGGTAGGGTGTGGGGAGGGGATGTGGGGCGCCAGGCCTCGGCTGCCTTAGAGTAGTAGCTGGAAGCTACTGAGACTTCCTCTCAAGCCAAGAAGAATCCCCCAGACCTGTGAGCAACAGACCCTTTGGAATTTGTCTCTGGGCCATTGGATTGGGAGATTGAGACTCCCAGAGTGGAAAAACCCACACAAAGCCACAGAACAAGTTAGTGACTAAGTTGCGGCTTGACCCATATCTAGCCAAGCTGTCCATCCCCTGTACTGGGCCCAGTCCCGTCTCAGAAGCCGAGAAGCTGGAGCTGGGAACTGAGATGCCAACCTCTTCCTGGGAGGCTTTGCAGAAGGGGCATACTAACATCTGGCCATGCCTGCCTGTCAGATTTGCCGCTTCATTCTTGGAGAATAGGAGCCTGTCACCTGCTCCATAAGCACTTGGGCAAAGTCCTGTCCTGCTTTTATTGGCATGTGAGCAAAGTGTCGAAACTCAGATGCTACAGGGCAGGAAGGCAACATACATGAGGATCTGATGATAAGAAAAAATCTGAAGGGGTTGGGGATTTTGCTCAGTGGTAGAGCCCTTGCCTAGCAAGCTCAAAGCCCTGGGTTCGATCCTCAGCTCTAGGGGAAAAATAAAATAAAAATATTTTTAAAAAATCTGAACTCAGTGATGAGTGGCCATGGACAGTTAGCCTCAGTGTCCAGGACACCGTCGGGAGGAGCGGGGATTGTGGCTACCTGCCTCCTTCAGGCCATGCTTCTCAGCTCCAGCTGGCTGTGGCTCTGCAGGAAGCATGCTCAGCTTGCCAAATTTTAGTTTGCCAGAATAACCCGGACATCTGATTTCCACATGAACTCTATCAATGTTTAGATGTTGATGACTTTGCTTCTTTGTTTTAACTTGACTTAAGGGGCTGGGGAGGCTTCATCCCATCCACCCACATAAAAGAGTCCTGGAGAGCCAGAGACAGGAAGGTCCCTGAGCCTCGCTGGCCAGCCAGCCTAGCCTAATGTGTGAGTCCCAGGTTCCAGTGAGAGACCCTGTCCCCAAAAAGAAGGTGGACAGCTCCTGAGAAATAAGATCCAAGGTTGACCTTTGGTACACACACACACACACACACACACACACACACACACACACACACACACACACTGACTTAAAAAAAAAAAATTTGTTAGCATTGTAGGCCAAACAAACATGTCCTAAAGCCAGATTTTTGCTGAATTTTGTCTCTGCTGCAACCATTTCAGACTCAGCCCCCCACCCCCGCCCCCTCCTGGGAGCACAGCTGGGCTCTGACAGGCTGAGTAGATAAAAACAGGTTTTCCATGTACACAGCCTGGCCCTAACGTGAGCAGAACCATGCACACCCCTCATCTACTCTAATTCTCACACCAGGCCTGGTGGGCAGGGAGGCAATGAGTCGTCTGGGGGAGGGGTCAGTGAGAAGGCCCTGCCTGAAGTCTCAGAGCTGCTGAGCTGACTGCACTCTCTGTCCAGGCCACACACAGGAGGCAGGAGCAGGTGTGGGGAGACCCTAGTGTGGGCTGTTACCAGTGTGAAATAGGAGGTGGGGGGGGCCAGGACACCCCTCCTTTAGCCTTTCCTGACCCTTGCGGGCTGCGCTTCCCTCCCTGGGTAATTGCTGGGCAGTTGTTAAATTCCTATGTTCCAAAGGAGGAAACAGGGAAGCCTGGCAAACAGACTTTGGTTCTCACTGGAATCCGGGTACTTTCTCTTGTTCATCTGCCCAGTCATTTGCTTCCCACAGCCCCAAAGACAAGATGGGTCACAAAATCGACCTGTACAATTGTTTTTTGTTTTGTTTTGTTTTGTTTTGTTTGTTTGTTTGTTTGCCGGGGGGGGGGGGGGGGGGGGGGGGTCATGGCATGCAAAAAAAAAAAAAAAAAAGAGCCAATATTTAAAAAATATTTTTAAAAAATCCATATGTGTGACTTTGCTCAGTGAATTAAGGACCTAGCCACAAAACAGTCACACACACTTCCTGTTTAAAACACAGCAGTGTTTGCTCAGTACCCTTAGGATAAATCTCCACCACTCCCCCAAGGCTCTACACGGTTGGCCGCCACTGCCTCTCCCTCCCGCCCCCTCCCTCTCTGACTCCAGCTCTGCTCCAGCCTCCTGGCCTTTTCATGGCTGCCTCAGATGTTGACCTCCTCAGAGGGGCCTTTCTTGACCATGTGTCCAGACCAGCTGCCCACTCCTTTGTCCTCACAGCATCTCATGTCATGACATCATTTCTTTACTACCGGCTTATGACTCCCCTCACTCTTTCCTGTATCGGAGGTCAGGGACCACGGAACACGTGGAATTTGTAAGTGTTGTGTTAGTGGGTGCCTTCTCATGTGCCAGAGTGGCCGGAACTGGGTGCTGTTACCTCTGTCTAGGGCCCAGCAGTCTCTATTTCTGTCACAATCACCGCCATGATTCCTTCCAGTCTCCTTCACTTGAGGGTATGGGGTCTCTTGCTTCGGGGTTTGGTCATCTCCCTTGCTCTATTCCAATATCACTGTCAGTGGGCAAAGTAGAAGACAGACCAGACCATCCATGCCATTCTCGTCTGATGCCTGTCTGATCCCTGCAGACTGGTGTTCTTCCACACCCTCACTTTTTATGCT